GGTCGTTATTGTCTATAGAGGTCAAAAAGGAGATTTCTTAGCCCATTTACCAAAGGCTTGAGGTCCGACTTAAGTGGTCAAAAGGGTTCAAAATCTGATCTCTGTCTGACACCCTGGTGTAAAAGCAGAGCCATTGTTCTTGAAAGCAACTGCATGCTGTCTGATTTTGTCTTGCATAGGAACCCTCTGAGCGATAATAGATAATAGTTTGATTCCATGTTAGGTCTGACACACTTTCAAACGTAGTAACCTACTAAAAATCATAGCTTGTCAGCCTCGTAGCTGACATTTAGGGGTTTGTTGTAAACTGGATATGGTTCAGTGCTACTTTTCACTTACACGGAACCAGAAAAAACGCAGAATATTTCACTCGATGGTACATGGGGGCGCGAGTGAATTTCACAACAGTCTCTGCGTTCACACGTATCGTCGGCTGCGATGATGTGGTCACGTTAAGGTCAAACGAACCTTTGGACGTTAGTAGTTCGACAAATCAAGTAGGTTCATTTCCCTAGCGTTAAAAACTTGGCAGTATTGCTAATAAAAGCAAAGAAGGTGACACGGTCACTAAAACAATAACTTTATTACCTTGACGTTTTAGATTCCCACTTCAAACTATCACCAGAGCCAGCTACAGAGTATGATATTAGGCAACACAAAGCACGCAATAGTTATCGAGCGTGGTTTTCAGCCAACCATACACCTAGTTATTTTGGCAATACTCATGCCTTGGTTGATGTGATTATAGCTTGGAGCTTCTTATTCGAGTCAGTAATGGGCGGATTTTCATTGATGGTCGATTCTTGACCTTCTGTTCTCTGTCAACGGAATTTCTGCTCACCTGCACCCCTTTCACATGGCCAGGTATGTTGCCCAACTGAAATCGCAGCACAGAATATGAGAGCAAAAGGTCTTTGCACCTACTGATTGAATGCGACTGATTGAATGACCGAGCCCTATCGAATTACCCGCGATCTCGGAATCAGCTTCAGTACTTCACATTGCATCCAATGGTCGGATTGAATGAGAATTCATAAACTCAGAACAATAGACCTGTGGCTCCGAATTTAAGAATCTTTATCAGATCCAACGGAGGAGCAATCAATAGTGATTATAAAGACTCGCTGACCGCTCCTAGTTTGTTGTTACTCCAAAACTTCAAGATACAAAATAAGTATTGATGAGACATTGACCTATGTACTTAACGATACCCTAAAGAGTTAGAGCATACTGAAACACATCGATTCGCATAAAGTGTGCTGGCAACTAGTTGCACAAACATATTAATTTTTCCCAGGGCTTGTCTAACCTCACAATTCTGCAAAACAGCAAACGGTTTTCACTGGCAGCACGTTATAACAAAGTTTTTTTCTTTTAGTAGAATATCACTTTTACAATTCCACCGTCACCAGTGAGCTCCAGAGAAAAGTATGTGTCTCAGGGCTCATATCTATTCGCCAATTATTTAAAATGAGCCTTCATATTGATGAAACCCCTTTGAAATCTCAAATTTTAGTCATCAAACAATGATCAAAATTTCCTCTGCTGCGGCTTGCATATTCTGGGATTCGTTATGACTGCTCTTCTCCTGGTTGGCCTAGCAGTTTGCATCGGTTACTACTTTGGAGCGGCTAATGCCATGAGTGAAACTTTGGCCAATTCGAAGGCGACTGATGCGGAGGTGATTGTGTGGCTGAGGGGCAATTCTTCCAGCTTTTCCATCGGTCGCATAATGGAATTTCTAGTTTCAAACGTTAGACAGTTTGCGAGCACATCAATTCAGTCGGCCAAAACTAATGTAAATATGACCATCAACAACTTAACGAAACATCTTCTAGAGGTATGTTACAACAGTATTCTTTGCAATAAGCCTCTATATTTTCTTTAACTATCTTTGAAAGCACCAAATACACCGTCTACTGAAATAGAATCCGATGTAAAAGTGCTTCAATATTTTCCTATTGTCCCACAAAACGTGACAGTTCAGTGGCTTCAGCATCCCAGTATATTTACTATTACTAATTCTTGTTTGCATGAACACTTCATTGCAGGGGACATTGCCAAATGAGATTTCCACCCTAGTGACAGCAATCGCGGTTGAATTCAAGGTGGCCGAAATCATTCAGGAGGCAAATAAAATGGTATATGCGATCGGCAATGCGACTGAAAACTCGGATTTTATATCGACAAATTATACTTCAATTGTACTTGATATTGTCACAAACGCTACATTATTGAACACCACCCTCGACTCCGTCAAACCCAACTGTGGTCCGAACTATTCACAGGTACATTTATTGTTGACATACGGCTGAAAATATTTTTGCGTACAGTTGGATTCTTGCCTGAAAATTGTTGTTCATCATGCAAAGCTAAGAGGTATTTACTAAAAGCTCTAGCAAGTGCGTGAGTGTGGCCTACATTTATCTATGGATAGGCAACTTTAATAGAGAATATAAAGTATAAGGTACTTCATACAAATTTGAACTTCACAATTTTACATTTGAGACCTTTTGCGTATAAGGTCGGAATGCCAACAAATAAGTTCAGCCAACATTTAACGAACTAATAATTCACATGTGTCATGCGTACATTAGTTAACGTTAAAGTCACATAAACTATCTGCTTTAATTTTATCATCTACAAACTGCCTAGGTGTGCTTTTTCCTTAACAAGAATATCTGCCTCTCGAATTGGGAAAGACTTAAGTAATTTTTGGCTTGCATTTTTTATAGAAGCAATTTATTATATTAAACCCGTATGATCGATGCGTGATAAAAAAGCCTGCCTCTCGAATCATAATTTGGACATTTATAAATTTACCGAAGAAAAGACTCTTGAAAATCGCCGACATTTGCTAAACTGATTTAAATAAAGACTTCAAAAGAAATTGACAAATTTGACGCTTTCGTTATTAGACGACCGTAAAA